TAGAATACAAGTTCCTCTATTCTCCATCAAAGCCCATCCGGTGCCTGACTTTTCCAAATACGTGCCTCACGCTAGTTACATCGAGTCGAATAGGTAGGAACGCAGTCATCATGATCCTAAGACCATGTATTGAGGGAAAACCTTCGTGGGAAAACCTCAATAATTCCTCCTGTACTCTTTCACGACGAGCAGCCGTAGTCCCCATTTAAACAAGCCGTTTAGGAATCTAACCTACCACTTCTATAAAGCACATCCAGCACCCGACCAACTGTGCCAACAGCCTGTTGAAAACCACCTATCGTGCTTCCCAAATTCTCCCCTGCATTGCGCTCAACCCCCATTTGAGAGGGCTGAAATTCCGAAATCGAGAGCTCCAAACCAAGGCATCGGTGCCCCAGCTTTTGTCGTACATTGTTCGTTGTCTGAGTGAGGCTTCCTCGTTCGCGCCGTCTTTAGAATGTGTCGAAAAGTTGAGAATGTTGAGGTCGCGGTCGAGGTGCTTGTCTAAAATGAGGCCGAGTAATTGCCCAGTCCTGCACACAATGTTAGTAAGGTTGAAAGCGAAAGGAATTTTACCTTTGATTATGGAGGGTTGTTGGTGACTCGTAAAGTCCTCCCAGTCAAACTCAATCGGGAAGTTGTTAGTGGACTGAATAGATGAGACCCAAACTTAAACATTTGATCTATCGTGCCGGGAACGGAGCCTAGCCCATGTGTCAATCGAAATTCGAATATATCGAATTGTGCGGGTTGTTTGTTTATTCACGTGCTAGGTTACATGACTTCCGTTGCACTCCTACTGGACCTTAGGCACGAGTGGGGCCGGGCCGGATCAGTTAACTACCGAAAAGTACAAATGCCTCCACCCACCTAAATGAGAGGAACCATGCCGATCCCCATCCATGTGTTGTATCATGACGAGTCCGGCAGCCCAGAGAAACAAACGAAATCCCGTGTTACAAAAGAAAAAGAATGGGTCCGCCTCCTGGTGGTGTTCTCCGGTATAGTCTGAGTTGCCTGGGCACCTACTCCACTTGGGGAGGAGACATCTCTGACCATATTTCGCGCGGAGGAAAGATAATGGATGATTGAGGCATGTCTGGATAACTCAGGGTTTTTGAGACGTCTCCTGGGTGGGTATTCACGGATGAGGGTTGACTTGGGGTGAAGAAAAAGCCACCATAACTTCGCAGTGGTACTTGCAAATGAAATCTGAGGCATGAGTGCTCCTCTTGTAAATTGAGTCATCTATTATACACTCCTCTGATATTATGTCATAGCTAGATAGCTGCATACGCAATTAAAATCCAATGCAAAAAAAATACATACATGGAACTACCAAGTGATTTTTGATCTAAGAGTTGGAGTAGGGGGTGTCTGCATCGTAATTTACTTCCTACTATTTTTGTAGCCAGTGCAGCGGTTGGAATGAGTTGGGCCTGTTGGCAGTGATCCCCGCCGGCTCCACCAGTCTTGTACCTATAGTGGACCCAGAGCTTTAGCTTAGGACTTTGATATATAAAAAAGGAACTACTGATACAGGGTATTTAACATTTCCAAACGCCTTACCGTTTTTTTTTTGCATCAGATTTTAATTGCGTATGCAGCTATCTAGCTATGATACAATATCAAAGGAAAGTACAGAAAAGATGTCTCAATATAGAGGAAGAGCACTCATGCCTCGGAAGTCATTTGCAAGTACCACTGCAGAGTTATGGCGGCTTTTTCTTCACCCCAAGTCAACCCTCATCCATGAATACCCACCCAGGAGACGTCTCAAAAACCCTGAGTTATCCAGACATGCCTCCGTCGTCCATCAACTCTTCTCCGCGCGAAATGTAATCTGAGATATCTCCTTCCCAAGCGGAGTAGGTGCCCAGGCTACTCAGACTTGTCAAGGGATAGAGTGAATTGAGGGAAGTTACTGTCACGTGATATAACGCGTCTGATACGCGATTCACGATGTATAAATTTTTACAGGACTCAATAGGAGTCTCCTTTCTTCTTTGTAGACAATCTCAATCACCAGATTAGACCTCGTCAATCTACTTCATGACCTTCCCCTGACAAGACTATACCAGAGAATACCACCAGGGGGCGGACCGCGGCACCTTCCATTGTTTGCTTGTTTTTATAGTGTCAGCTGTACTCTCGCAAGCGAAGTCTTGACGCGCACAAAGCCCAATTCGTGAAACTCTTGCCAAAATTCTGAATTTCACGCCCTTCGAGTTTATATTCTTCCTTTGCATCATCTTGTAACCGTCGGGTGTAAATATCGGCGTGGGCGTGTATTTGGTGACCAGCTGAGGCCAGAGAAGGTAGACGAGAGGTGTGGTCATTGGGATGAGGATGTACTAGGTCGTACTTGTAGACTGGATGAGACTTAGGTAGGCATGAAACCCGTTGAGAGCGAAAAAACGACATGGTAGAGTAATTCGAATTTTTGCCTCGTGGGCAACCTTCTTTGATATTTCGAAATTTGACTGAACTTAGTTCTGGGAGAATATTTCACTCCTAGGTTCGTAGAAGGCACCGCGTACAGGTGTTCAGTCTTGCACTCCTGTATGTGTGTATGTATGAAATTCGTATCAGGCAAAAGCCCTACACCCAAGAGGCGTGATACGGGTGTGTGGTCCCAAAAGACTCACCACTACCTATCCGTCCAGCTTTCTAGGCTGACTGATTACATGAAAAAAAGAACTGAAGAAAATTGCCTAGACAAAAACGCCCTGCGCCTCGCCCAATTAGTAGTTCCGTATTCGCGTGTAGATGAGCCTAGTAGGGTAACGTTGGTACGAGTCAGGCTGCAGCATTCTTAGGAAATGCTGAGACTGTAAAAATAATACACGTTTGTTCAACCCTATACTTTATTGTTCGGATTAGGTCCTGGTCAACGATGTCTAGCCTAATTGTGCTATGTCGCAGCCTACTAATTCAATTATTCATTGGGTCATCATCAGGGTTGTGAGTAGTTTAGGTTTTGGTGTGGGTTGTTAGATTGATACCTAAGCGTGTCGCATAGTAGTCAGACATGCGACTCGAGTGGCATATGCACGGTAAACCTCAACCCCAAAATGATGATACGAATCAAGTTTTACTTGCTACGTCCTGTATGGCTAGCGTGATTGGAATATGGGAAATTTACCTGTAGATAGATAAAGACGTTTTTTTTTTTTTTTTTTTTTTTGCATCAGATTTTAATTGCGTATGCAGCTATCTAGCTATGACACAATATCAAAGAAAAGTACAGAATAGATGATTCATCGTTAAGGAAAGGCACTCATGCCTCAGATTTCATTTGCAAGTACCACTGCGAAGTTATGGTGGCTTTTTCTTCACCCCAAGTCAACCCTCATCCGTGAATACCCACCCAGGGGAACGTCTCAAAAACCCTGAGTTATCCAGACATGCCTCCATCATCTTTCAACTTTTCTCCGCGCGAAATATGGTCTGAGGTATCTCCTTCCCAAGTGGAGTAGGTGCCCAGGCTACTCAAACTATACCGGAGAACACCACCAGGAGGCGGACCACAACACCTTCCATCGTTTGCTTGTTTTTATAGTGTCAGCTGCACTCTTGCAAGCGAAGTCTTGGCGCGCAAAAAGCCCAATTCGAAAAACTCCTTGCCAAAATTCGGAATCTCATGCCCTTCGAGGTTATATCCGTCCTTCGCATCATCTTGTCAACTTGTCCAGATCTCTCTCACATCCATCCCAAAGAACTGTCTCCCAGATTTGTGCGCCACGCTTTCCTTCCTCCGTCGGGTATAAATATCGGCGTGGGCGTGTATTTGGTGACCAGCTGAGGCCAGAGAAGGTCGAAGAGTGGTGTGGTCATTGGAATGAGCATGTACTTGGTCGTACTTGTAGACTCGATGAGACGAAGATAGGAGTCAAACTCGTTGGGAGCGAAATAACGATGTGGATGAGTAATTTGGATTTTTGCCTCGTGGGCCAACTTCTTTGATATTGCGAAATTTGACTGAACTTGGCTCTGGGAGAATATTTCACTCCCAGGTTCGTAGAGGACACCGCGTACAGGTGTTCAGTCTTGCCCTCCAGATAAAGACGTTGTAGCCCTCTGATAGTTGGGACAAGTCTTCTACAATATTAAATCGGAATCAATACTAGCCTCACATTAAGAAACCCCATGAATTATTTCCAGTGCCTGTGATAACAGACATACATATACAATGTCGACAACAAGTTATAAGTCGATAATTATCGAATCTACTTCCAGCCACGCTGTTCTATTCATCCAGAGGAATCATAATTTAATACACTTCTTTATTAGTCGTTGAGGCGAGATAATTTGTGGTTGGATAGAGATTGAGGACTCAGATGAGAATGGTGTTAGAGGCATTGTCGAGAAGTCGTCGACTTTAGATATGCTTCAGGTCGCTTTCGACTTCGATTCGGATGCGATATTTCTTGCCTTTCCCAGATATGCAGAGCATATTCAGCGATCACACCGACACCACTGGAAGGTGAAGATTTCGTCTTTGCCGGCTGGTAGTGGTTAAAGATCGTCATTTAGTTGATCTTTGTTGGATGGACTTGTCATGCATAAATTTAAATTGAGAAAAGAGAAAATAGGGTTAAACCTTGCCATTTACGGCCGAAGCTTGCGCATTTCAGCTCTCAGTGAAGCTGAAAATTTACCCCGCAGTACGATACATAGTAAATTCGCCATTGTGAAATGGCGCACTTTGCCTTAAAGCTAGCCTCGTGCCCTTGGGAAACAACATAGCAAGTCAAAATCTGAAAGCGCCCGTTTTTAAACATTAAGTCGTTCCAACATTCCGTCACATAGAATACACGCATCTCAGGTAGAAAGATGGCCATTCAAAAAGTTACGAGGTGAGCAAGGCAATGGCCAGGTGTCTATCAATGGGCCAAAGGCGAGACTCCCGAGAATATCCTGTTGCTAACCTCAGATCTACTTAATATAGTCTCGATGAATACCGCAAAATCGCCAAAGATAATCAGAGTATTATAATCATGTTCACAGCGGAATGGTGTGGTCCCTGTAAGGTTGCTTATCCAAGATTTCAAAAGTGAGTTTGAATGGTTTTAATTAAAGCTGTTGAAGATCTTATCCAAATTCCAACAGAAGTTGATTATGCACAGGAAATCCGATGAGTTTAAAAATACAACCTTCATTTCTGCCGATGTGGACCATGCTCAGGACCTATCTACTGAATTTGGAATCAAAGCCATGCCAACGTTTATAGCTATCGAGAATGGTGAAAAAAAAGAGACTTTAATTGGAGGGGATCTTCGTAATGTAATTCCATTTTTGGAGCGATACGCAAAATAGTAGGCTCTAGTTTTTAGTCAAATCCCGATGAGTTCGTGAAGAATTCGTACAGCGACGATTTGCTCTAATTTGATTCTTTAAACCTGAAAGCTCTTGTTTCCCAGTAACAGTCAGTAGAGTAAAACCGCATAAGTTGATATGAATCTACTAATTTCGTAGTATAAAAAACCAATGTTAAATTTTTAATATTAATTATATCGGAAATTAGCTCAACCTACTTTGCACCAAGCGTGGTGCATCTCTCTGCTGCTGAGTCAATGTTTTGACGCCTCAGCCAACACTACGAACTAAACGTTCGCAATTTTTATGTTTATTTTTTATGATGTTAAAGTCCTGAGCTAGAGCCCTAGATCCGTTTTGGGTACAAGACTGGTGGAGCCGGTGGGGATCACTGCTTACAGTCCCAACTCATTCCAACCGCTGGACTCGCTACAGAAATAGTCGGAAGTAAATTCTTTTTTGTTAATATTTGAATTTGATTTCATTTAGCCCGATTTGGCGCCCTATGGGCCCATGTAGGTGTCTACAGTCTACAATATTTACCCGGGAGGAAACTTTTATGGTGAAAACCTCCCACATCTTTCTATTTGTTGTCTACAGTTCTCACAAATTTTCTTCTGGAAGCGCAGTTACACTATAGTGCCATCCATGTAAACTAACCAGATCATCTCTATCCTCCCCAAGCATTATTTGACCATTTCCTTTCCCTCAGCAGTATTTTGACCGCTTTTGTCATCTGGAATTGCTCTATCCACCCATAGTTTAGGATCCACTGTGTTATCCTTTTTAAATCTCCAGGATTGTTTATCATTGCTTCGTAGGACCAATCTTTGGCTTGTCTCCAGATCTTAGCTCTACCATTTGACCATCGGGGGCAGGACATAATCATGTTCTTGGGGTTCTGTGATTGGTAGCCACATGGACAACCTGGACTTAATACCTCGGATACTTTTCTTATTTGTAAATACGAGTTGAGCTCCATGTGCTCACTTCGTATTTGCATCGCCAAACTGCTTATAGCCCTTGTCAGGCTACGATGTAGAAAGAATGGTGAGTCTTGAAAACTCGGTTTTTTCCGTTCAGACTCTCTACTTTGGTAAAAGTTGGCCGCTCTCCAAGTTTCGGGAGGGGGACTATTCTCAACACCTGTCAGCGGTGTCCCCTACGAACCTCCAGCTCTCACTGTAGAGTCTGCAGAGCCGAGATTGAGTAACAAAGTCCTCACTTCGACGAGGATTCCCAATCGCTTTCGCCGTCTGTATCGTCTTCATCTCTCAACACATTCCCCTATCACCATTATCATGAAGCTAACCACGATCAGATCAGATGGTAGGGTCGGAGCCCTACTAATCACCTACTCTTAATCATGGAGGAAAAGCCATCCGATGAGTTTCCGGAGCGTACCCAGCACCCGATACGGAGATGGTTGATTGGATCAAGTCGGCCTCGACTGTTACAAAGAAGGGAGATACAGATGAATATGCGCACCTCATGTGGTCCCGGTATCAAGGCCTCGCATGGCTGAGGCCGCAGGTTTTTAAGACTTTTTCCTGCGCACGCAGTTTCTATTGCTACTATTTTTTTTTTTTTTTTTTTTTTTTGGGTAGAAGGTTCCGTGGAAAAGGTGGCCGAATTCCATGAGTAAACACTAAGCTGAATGGCTATTCATCACGGGCAATATACCAATAATCTTTCAAGAAACATGAGAAGCAAGGAGCACTGTACAAGGTGTCGCCTAGGTCAGGTAGGAGCCTAACGTGCTAGATAATCATAGACTCAAGTAGTACAATAAACACAAACACACTCCAAGTTTCGGGATCTGCAGTTGCTAGCTTGCCGAGGATTCCGAGTTCGTTTCTGCTCGGACCAGGACTTCGCCCATTCTTGGTATGCCGCATCCTTCACTATCTCTGTATGTGTCTTCTTGAGTTGTTGTTCACCGCACGTTCCCGTCCAGTTGGCAAGGTCTAGTCTTCTTTTAATTGGTCGTATATCTTCTCTCCCTTTTTTGGGCAGCTTGATTTTATTAAAGGCGGACTAAATTGTCTTCTGGACAGGTAGCTCCTTTGAGCGGCCGAAATATGGGAGGCTTTGTTGCTTTATGAATACTTCTATAGGAAGCATGGCCCTGTCGTGTTCCAGCATGAGAGTGGTGTTGGACTTGCATGTTCCGGTATGTAAGGATTCCGAAGAAATGCCTTGGGCAGGGTTTACGGAAGCCTTGCTTTATTTCACAGAGCTCTATTGCCTAGCAAGGACAATCAAGTAGTACACATTTCCAAAAATGAGGCCTTCACGCCTTTTTTTATGTCTATAGGAAAAGTTACAAAATTCTAATCATGTCTCAATCTCGTACTCTGCCATCCTCTGTGACCAATCGTCACCTCCGGCGACTTTATCGGGATCGAGTACGGCGTTCCGTTTTTTTTTAATCATTTGATGTGTATGCAGCTATCCAGCTATGACATATGACCTCTTAATAAGTAAATGATTAAGTGATTGATTTAAATTCAAGTCTCTATTGAGTCCTAGACAACGTGAGACTGCTTGAGACCTACTTAATCAGATTTTTAAAGTAATGGTTAATTTTCGATTTGACTGCATTAATTGTACACCAGTTGATCCTAGGGGTTGTGCCCCGCCAAAAACGAGTCGCGGATGCTTCTTCAATGATTTTCTTGTGCCCCCGAACGGAATCGAACCGTCAACCTCGTCATACCTCGGTGTACTAGTGACGCGCTCTACCATTGAGCTACGAGGGCATGTGTTCTTGGTTATATCACTTGTCTAGAACCTCCGGCGCGTGTCGCCGGATCAATTGGTGTTGGTATACAGCAGAGCAAGTCCAGCATAAAATCAGTTAATTAACGAATTCTAGAGGAAGACCTCCTACATCTTGCTATTTACACAAGGGATTTTAATTAACGACGCCGATCATAACAGCCTCCGTAGCTTAGAAACCGTTTCCAATCTGCACCCTTAGTAGTCTCTGTAGCTGACTAGACCCTAGATTCCATTTTTACCGTATTGGCGCAGACAGTACACACACAAGGGAGTATTCCCGTAACAGCACGTCCCTATCAGCCGTCCTTCCTCGGTGACTCGCACACTACGCTCTTTCCTACGCCTAGTTTAATTAATTTTATTGTCCTGTCTGAGTCTATTACTATGTAGGACATGCAGGTCCTCTCTGCCTACAGTCCAAGGATACCTATACCAGTAGTATATCCCCTCCATGCCTCCCATACAGCTCCCCTCAAACAGCACCGCCCCTCACAAGTCCTCGTTCGATCTTATACTTAGAGGAGCCCTTTGCCCTTCGCCCTTCATTATCTCCCATATCCAGCCACCCAAAAGATTGCCATTTACGGGTGCATAGCAGCCGGGAAAAACCGCAAAAACCACTGGGTGCGGGGCTCTTCTATTACTGACATTAGGAATAAATCCGAAGACATAGTGACCCTTCCGAAGCGTTCGAAGAGGCCGGCCAGCTGAGCGCTGCAGACTTGTGGGTACCTCAGAGAATTCACTCTCTGCCTTTCTAGACTCCTTCCCGAAGGTCGTGCTGAAATTTCAGTAAAGTCTTGACAAAGCGTGATTGCTGTTTGATAGCTCTGCCTAACTTCTTTTGTGCCGTCCAGGGCGCTAGAGAGTGCCGTTGACTCATCGATAGTTGAAGTTCTCCTGGCTAATTAGCTGGATTATCAGTCTTGGCGCTCACAAACATTCCAGTTGAAAACCGCTCGGAAATATTGTTATGATAACGAGGTCATGAGGGGACAGAGGAATACCTGAAATGGATGCAAATGATTATGGATGCGCGGATATAATTGATATGGCTGTAGTGAGAAGAAGCGTTGGAATGGACAGTAGTGAGATGGTTGATTTACAATCTACCTGCGGAAGTATTGCTTCCTTATATATACATTCAGTACCCCAATCCTGATCACGCACTCACCACAGGTGCTTCCTACTTCTGTCACAGTAACCGCTTCCATAGCCCCTACCAATATCTCCTGTCACAACATACTATTGACACTGGTTGCTAGTGTGGAACTCCCGGGATTGCAGAGCTATACACCGTCGTCACATTATATGCTGTTGCCCCTCGGTAGCCATCAGAGTGATGTGCGCCTCAGTCTAAACGCATTGGTCCACCAGGCAACGCTCGGATGTAGGGATGTTGCCAGAGTGATTAGGTACTTAGCTGTGCTATCAGTGCCCTAATCTCATCTAGCTTACTGCGGCCGAGTGTCCGAGTGCTGCAATGGTGGGAGCCTGATGAGGCTCGATCGGAGCTGACCCGAGGTATTCACAACAAATATCGATCCAAGCATGATCATCAGAGACCTGTTCCCCCTCTCGCTCCACATCTTAGCCACCTTTTCTTCCACAAGCTGCTTGTCCTATTAAAGCATCAGTCACCCATAAGCCAGGACCCAAGCTTTGAATTTTTCGACTTGATTTCCTCCTTGCGGGTATATATAGCGTCGTAAATATAGAGCGAGAGATGGCTGGAAATTAATGGGGCAAGCTCCTGTATGCAATTGGAGCAACTTCTTTATTGGTCATGAAGGCGAGATGAGTATGGCAAGAAAGGCATTGTCGAGAAGTCGTCAAATGGAGATATGCTTGAGATAGCTTTCGACTTCGATTTGGATGCGATTCTTCTTGGCTGTCCTAGATATGCATAGCATACTGAGCGATCACACCGGCACCACTGGAAGGTGAAGAATTCGTCTTTGCTAGCGCACCCCTCGCATTCTTTGGTCACAATCCGGGCGGCTAAGCAGCCCACTCCTTCCCAGCTGTTTTCTGATAGTTTACTTTGCCACGTATTATTGATCGTTACATTATCTCGAGTATAGAGGATTTCATGTATGTAAGGAGGAGTTAGAACGTTAATAGGAATACAAGTTTATACCCAGTCTCAAGCTCTACACACATATAGATTGTCGTAGTTTGAGCCATGAGACATCCGTGAATTTCACAGTCAACAT